CCTCTAACCTAAATATCTTGTCAAGCCTGAAGTTCTTCATAGCTGATGGAGGAACATTGGCACTTCCACAGAGTTATTCATGCAATCTTTGGAAGATATCTACATTAGACTGGGAGTTACCCTCTGAAAGTACCTGCTTTCTTAACCAGTTGTGCAAGGAGTCCATACTACTCAATCCTAATCCCATAGGAGGAGTTTTTTGTTACTGTGTACCTCAGTACTTGGCAGCATCCAGAACAGGATCTTTTGAAGTGTTTTGCAGTTATTCTCCCATTTCTCATGTTGACTAAGTATCTGAATTGATAATATCTAGCTACTCATTTTGCCCTCATGTGAACCTGTGAGGTTGCCAGGATCTACACCCAGACCTAGGATCCAGAAAATGCTGTTGGGTTTGCTCAGAAATGAACAGTGTTAGGCTTATCCTCTGTTAATGACGGATACAATTTGATGTGATGAATCCACGCTTTTCCCTTCCCCAGAATTATGAATCCTCTTGGCTTTCCCATCAAACATCTGTAACTATCCACTCACGATTTACTGTTTACACGCAGCTCTGCATTATAGAAACATTCTGTATTGCTATCCCACCAACCTAAACTGATACATTGATATGATTGAGGGATGGCAAATACTGAAGGATGATAAGAGCAGAAAAAAAATACAGGCAGTCTTTCCTAATGTAAAAGATTCAGGTTTGACTAAAGAAGGGTCACAAAAGGGTCATCACTTGTAATGAAGATAAACCTTCTAATTTCTTGTATTTTACTTCTCTTTAGTCATTGTAGTACACATAAAAGTCCATTAAGTGCCATTTTCTGTCTATTGCCATCAAAGAAAAACATATTGATGGCAATATGTCTATTGCCATCAAAGTAAACATATGAGATGTTTACATTGGGAAATCAGTTTCAGTCTGCTGTAACCTACTATTTGTTCTGAATGGAATCCAGCACTGCACACTCCTGTTATGAGTTCACAATATTTCCACGTGCTGCAGTCTAACAAAATAAAATAATCTGCAAAGGCTGGAGAACACTCATTGCCAGCAACGCATAAAATATGTTTTTCTTTGGAGAGTGAGATTCACTATTTGCAACTAATTTAGAAATTACCAAAGTTTTAATTCCTCTATTGGTATCTACATTTGTACACAACTGACTTTGTTGCGGAAAGACATTTTATGTTCTGTAGTTGCTTGCACAGAAAAGGACCCTCTAATTCTCTAGTGGTAGATGAACAGATGATATACCACAAATCCATTTTTTATGAAAACTTAGAACTGGTTGGCTGCACTCATCTTAGCAATGCAAGAATTCAGTGCAGTGTAGCACCTTCCAGGGAGGCAGGCAGTTGTTGCTGCTACAGTGATATTTCTTGGAAGCATCTAAATGAGCATGGTTTATGCACTGCAAGTGGAGACACAAGCCCTGCCACTAATTTTTAAACCATTTTTTTTCCTAATATGATATTGAAACATGAAATGCAGAAAGTTACTATCTTTCTTCATCATGAGCAAGAACATTAAGAATTGACTTTTCCTTCTGCACAGATTCATGCACAGACACGTGAAATGAAATGTGATCTGTCTTCCAGCTGAAAGAGCAGTGCAAATGTATTTCCTGCTCAGATTATTCTTCCAGAGGCTGGTAATATAAAAAACTTTCTGTATATTGGAAAAAATCCCATGTCTTTATTGAGTAGAAGCTAAGACATCAAATGGAAGGAAGTAGATTTCAATACAGATTGACAAGGTGAAATTGAATAGAAATTGTGCAGCCTTCAAATTGACAATTTTCATTTGAGTCTAGCTATCCTTCTAGGTACCTGATGATACCATGGCAATGAGTATGATTAGCAGTATGATAAGAACTATGTATCAATATATCTTATAGCCCAAAATCTCCTTTGTGCATACCTGATTCATAGAGCCTAGCTCCAACTCCAAGAGTTATTGTCACATTTAGACATCTACAAACTGGATCTCTGAATTAATCATCCAGATTTTATTCATCCTCAGTGAGGAGAAGGAGGTAATTTGGATTCTTGTCTTCAAATGAGTATTTGTAGCAAGCTCTGGAGGTACTATCTCTATCATTAGTAAAGGAATGAAGTGACAGCTCAGACTTCAATTGTAACACTAGAAACATGAAAAGCTAGGACAAAGAAATCCCCCTTCATGTTAATCTGGTTTGATACGGCACAAATGTTCAAACTTTAGCCTAGATATCTTACTTTTCTTTACCCTAACACCAAGTTCAGCAATCAAATAGTTTTTCAATGTACACCAAGTGAAGGCCCATAACTGCGCCATTTCTTCATCTTACTGTTTGCTGAAACCTGGTGATTAGGAGTAGATTCTATCTGCTGATTTTTTATTCCCCACCTCTCTAACAGTGATCCATAGTACCATTCACAGCCCTATGACTTTCCTGGAAATGAGAGGATGACTCCCAAAGGGTGTTCACACCCATCAGGTAAAGGAATTTTAACTAGTACTAAAAAGTCCATTTTAGAAGATGATAATGCAAGCACCATGTTCCATGAGACATCACTCTTCAGGCAAGGTAGAAACTGCACAGCAGTCAAGATTAGTGCATTTTCTTTGATAACTGATTAATGTAGTCATCTGTGGTTCCTGTCACTGTTGGGGATGGCCTTTCCTTGCCCATGCTGGTCAGGGTCTGAGCAGCAGGCAGATCCACTCCACCTGAAGACAGAGGCAACCACTGTAACAAAGCTCTGTCTCAGCAACCACCTCACGCACATTGGGAATGCCATACGTCGGATACAGCAGCACGCACAGCCATTCACCTGGGGGACGGAATAATATCACCATTTTTAAAAACAGGACTCTGTCAGGTCTCCCAGGAGGGTTCTGACAGCCACCGTCATTCATCCACCTTTGCCACCTGGAACTGGTATTAACCATGAGGGAAAAAATGATCGCACAGACTTAAACTTAGATATTGCTGCAAGACAGAAACTGAGACAAAGCAAAACTTGATACTAAGCAAATACTTATTTTGGAGAACCAATCAAAGCCTAAATCTAACAGCAAATGACCACAATGAATGTGGTAAAACACATTTATTAATTTTGCACATCACATCCAAACAGCTAAAAAGAAACAGGACTCTGTCTAAACATGCAAAATGTAAAACTGGAGGAGCCGTACACTTCAGGAATCATCTGCTGATTAACATCACACATGGTTATCAAATCCAACAGCACAGCATATAAGGGTTTTAGGGTAGTAGCCTGTGGGAAGCCAGTAGGCTTCCAAAACACTTGTGCAAGTCTCTCATCTCAGCCTTAAGAGTGTGACCCAAAACTCCAGAGTTATGATGTATTGTACAGGCTCACTGTTTGTATCTCATGGCCTCAGTATGCAGAAGATACATGGAAAATTAATCTCAGAACTTTAAACCCTTTAAGATTCATACCTTCTGGATTTTATTCTATTGTGAACTGAGGAAAGAAACTCTTGAGGTTAAATGTCCTATCCCAAGAAAATTGTGCTATCATGGCATATATTTAACAGTTCAAGATTGTGGCCCAAACAGAGTCTAACAAAACTGAAATGAAATCTTCACTTTTAGGAATGCCCTGGAGGATTCCCTGGCCAATTCAGATCAATGTCTGATTTGTCTACAGTCTTGTTACTTTCAGTCTTTTATAGTTAAAATGCAAAGAAGATTATATATTTTTAAGTAGTATTTTCTATTTCATGTAGTTTTGGAGCAGTGGGAAAAGGTTGCTCACAACTGATTTGTTAGATTACCATCACATTTTTTCACTGTAACAAAAATTATAGCACAGTGGAATAAAAAAGTTAAAAAGAGACTTAAGGTACATTGGAATTTATTCCTAAAAAGGGTAGTTCAGGGTATCTTCCTCATGGAAATTGAGACTTTATCTGCTTTTACTTTAAGAAAAGCAGAAGGGACTCTAAAAGGACATTTTCTCACAAAGTGTGACACAGTATATTCCCCTCCCCAGGGTAAAGAGCATGAAAGGTGTTCTTTCTCAGATGGGGTGCATGCTCATCCACTAATCTATGCAGCCACTGTACTGTGTGTGAATGCAAATCACCCATGAATGCCATGGCCAATTTCTCAGTTGCCTGTCTCCACAGTATGCATGTGCATTATGTATTATATGTTTAAGAGTGCATCAGCTCCCTGGTGAAAAATCAAGAAAACTTCCGTGTCCTCCTGAAAGAAAATGCAGAAATATTTGATACACGTCCAGCCAGGTCAGGCTGCAGTATGTTCTCGGGAGAAATTCCAGCTGAATTAAGACAGCACTGCTGTACAGGGATGTGGTGGATACAGAGGGACTGGGGGCAGCTCAAACACAGGAAGCAGCATGGCTGTATCAGCATGGTGCTCTCTGTAGACTAATTAGTCCTGCTAAGAAGCTGGACTATTAAGTCCATGCTAAATGCAAATCTGTGCCTTCCCCTTGGGCTGTGCTGAATGAGCTCTGCCGAGGAAGGCTTTTCTGTCTGGAACCAGGGACCTCTAACATCACTAGACTTATGAAGCTGTAAAGCATAAGGAGATTGGCCAGCAAGACAGGGGCATTTTCAGGGAGAGCCCAGGAAGGCTTGGGAGCTCATTTCCACTGCTCCAAGCACAGGACTCAGAGCTGAATGCTACTGCAGTGTCTGCATTGCTCTACATGCCCTTGTGGGGTTTGAGACTATGGGGATGCTTACACCAGTTTTTAGTTCACTGGAGGAACACATAGCTCCTTTCTGGGGATGAGACATCATCCTTGAGGTGAGAGAAAAATATTGGAAGGCAGCAGCAGCTCTGGGCACTTGGCAAAATGAAATTAGAATGCAAAATTACAGAAAGAACTGCTAGTATTTGAGCCTACAAGACACATACACAAAGTAAAGATGGTGAAGATGAAACTTAAACAAGTGTTTTGTCCATCATTGTACAAAGACAAATGGGAATGAAGTGAAGAATAAGAATACCAAAGCTTACACCATGTTGCATTGTCCTCCAGATAGTCCTCTGGGAAGCAAGAGGGAAACAGATTCAGGGAACAGAAAAACAAAACAGAACAAAACAAAATAAACCACAGGTTATACCAAACAGGCAACCACAGAGAAGATAATGAGTCTCTATAAGCAGTTGATTTTAAATGAGAAACTTTAGATCATGCTCTACAAAATCAGGCGTTAAAATTATGTAATTTTTGACAATTAAAAAAATTTACTGATCTTCAGGTGTACTTGCTAGATGCCTGGACTAAGATCGTCACTTTCTGGCACTGTTTAGTAGAGGGATAAGGAAAGATTTCTCTGAGCTGTTTAAATGTATACTTTAGGAGGAGATGAATTGTGCTTTAGAAATACATGATCTCAGATCAGTTGCCTAAACCCATGCTTAGATAACTGAACTAAGACCTGTATTTCTCTCTGTTAACAGTCAAAATGACAATCATCTGGACTCAAATTAAGGTAGTTGGCTCTATGGATTTTTATCCTGAATCAGAAAAGTCCTCATTTTTGCTTCTCTAACAGCCAGTATAAGGTGGAATACAGTTATTGAAATGTAGGCAGAGCAAGTCAATTTAGCACCTCTGAGATATTCCATTTAACTTCCAACCTGGCCTCCTGTAACCTTGCTTTCACCTTTGGACATCTTGGAGAGCACAGGCATCTCAAAGAGCATTAGGTGACTATATTTATGTAGCTAAATTTCACAGGGTGCAACCTGCAGAGAACAGCTGGGGCTCAGTTCTGCTCTCCCACTTGGATGCCTCATAGCGAACATCCTCTAGGGTGTTCTGTCCAGACTTCAGATGCCAATCCAGGGGAGCATAAGCATCTCAAATTACTGTTCTATCTTCCAGCTCAGCTAGATGACTTAAATATTTCAAAGTATTTCCGTCTTGCCTATCTACATGCGCATATTCCAACTGATTCTTTTATTTCTCAGTCTTTGAGAGAGGTCTGTGACAGATGGGGTGAATCACTCTCCAAAGATGTGTGCCTCTCCATTGGCATCTGAAAGAGCCTGACTTTTCGGCCCAGTGCTGTGAAAATGTCATTGAATTGTCTGAGCATGTCTTGAACTGCTTGAGCTTCTGTAGTATATTCTAGCCAGCTCCCTCTGCTGCTCCAGAAGTGTACTGGTCTCCTTGAGTCTCCTGCTGGTCCCATATTTCAGATACTCTAGGATGTCTCAGATGGTGCTTTTCATCCATGCTTAGAAAAGTTTCTCAAGTTCTACATTGCTTCCTAAATACATCAGATGCTTTAAAACCACATATATCACAGCTTTTGGGGGATATTTCGATTTTTTCACATTTCTTAAAATTAATTTTGATCTATTTCTTATTTGTTAAGCCTTACTTGTTACAGCTGTGACAATAACACAGAGAAATCACTTTCCCTCCTTTTGAAATGGAATAGCTGGGTTAATAGCATGAGCTCAGGCAAGGATGAAGGAGCACTTTCTCAGATGGGCTGAGTACCTGGTGGTTTCAGTGTAGGCTTCTTACGAGAGCTGCTTTGTGCAACCTACCTGATAAAATATGCCCAACTGAATTAAGCTTATAAGTTGGGGGATATGAGCAGGACTAAAACAGAATTCAGTTCAGATATGCTTGTTTGTATAACATTGAGATGCAGAGGAAATATTTTCTGAACTTGGTTTCTTGTGCTGTCAAAGACAGATGAAAGCAGGATGGTTTGTCACTTTTGAGGTTTTTGTAACTGCATGTTTGGACTTTATGGTGACAGTTTAAAGTCAAGTGGTCTGACAGTGTTTCATGAATACACACTCCACAACAGACTTCTAAAAGCGTTAATGTAACACTGAACAGTCTTCTGAATCACAAGAAAAGACTTGTTTCTTATATCTATAACAATCAAAATGGTCTTTAAGTGTTTGAAAATACCAACAAAATACTAATATTGCAGTGTATTTATATGAAGTAAGCAACAGAAAATGATCAGTGGGTAGAGGAGAAAACTGCTGTGCATGGGATCCTCCTTACACCGTGTTGACAATGCAAGGATTAGGAGTGTCCAAATGAAGCTGGGCCTCCAAGCCCTGGCTACAGTTAATGAAGAGAGATACGTCATTCAGGGAATGATTCAGCACATGGAAAGCTGAGGGTCCAACACAGGTTAAATGGTGTTTCTGTGAGGCAGGAGTGTAGCATTTATATCCTTCTGGATAAAATTACCCAAGATGGTGTGAGAAGCAGGCAGTGACCTTTCCTGAGAGCTGCTAAGGGATTACAGCTCTGAAATAAGGCCGTCTGCTCTAATCCACATAAACTACCTTTCCTAGCTCCACTGAGATCAGCAGCCATCTCTGAACTGAGAGATGGTCGGTCCCAGTCCAGAAGGAGACAGCACATTCATCACTGCCATTTGAAGATGGATTTGATACCAAAACTCATCATTAACAGACCATAAATAGTAATTATTTTGGATACTATCAGCAAGAACAGGAAATAGAAATTTGATTTGAACATTTTTTAAATGAACGGCAGCAAAACTAAACTCCTTGGTTTTTTTCCTGAAATAATGCATGAACAAGACTAGTTAAATCATAAGGAGATAAGTCCCCCTTTCAAAGTCTGGAAGTCATAAAGAATTATCTGTATTGGCAACTTTCATTAGTTTCAGCCTTTAAAGGCTGGCAGCATAGGACACATCTCTGCTTTATTCAGTGTGCTGTTCAGTATTTTGCAAGTTAGTATTTTAAAAAGGATATTAATGTGTTCAGAAGTATCCTTCTTATGTCAATCTGTAATACATCTTTAACCTTCCTTTTTCATTACAAAAATGCTTGAACTGTTTTTACATCATCAGACTAATCCAAGCTGAGCTGTGCTTCCAGCTTCTTCCTTTTTATGCTCTTCCTCCCACTTCAGCTGTTTGCAACCTTTAGATTTGACAAAGCATGATTGAAACCTAAAGGCTTTGTTGACCTTTCACTTCACCTTGGCCAATTCTACATTAAGATCCAGGCCTCTGCTCCGAGCAGTGCAGAAGGACTGGTTCTCTGAATCTAAAGTGAAAGAGTAAAATTAAGATCCCATCTAATATAGATTGAGTATTGCTAGTCAGATTTTTAGCCTGAAATGTTGCACTGCACTGTGATCCTGCTGTGGTTGGATCTACAATGGATGTAAGCATCTTCTCTCTCTGCTTCTCCTTGTAGGATAACCAGGCTACAGTATTTCCAGAAGTGCAGAGAACTAACAAATGTTGCTTTTTTCTGCAGGATAGTCCCAAGTCTTGAATGGAAATGCCATGTTATTTTCCTATTGGGTTGCCATGAAAATTGACATAGATTGTACATAGAGTACAACATAGACAGAAGTGATTGGAAGGACTTGGCACTGTGAAAAACCCCTGTGACAGCCCATGAATTTGATGAATGATGGCATCAAGAAGATACCTGGGTCCTCATCTGCATTGGTAAATTTGGGTACTCTCTTTAGCAAGACAGACCAGTGCTCTGCAAATGTGCAGCAATTAGCTGAGGACATGTGATACAGCCTTTGTTAAATCAGAAGCTCTCCAGTTTTGCTCATCGGTTTTATCTACAGATGACTGCTGGGATGGTACTAACAGCTGTACTAATTATCCCTCTATAAATCTATAGATGTATAAATAGCAGGAACATTGAAGTCTGAAATGTGAATCTGATGATTGGTAGTAAAGAAAATAATTTTATGTTGAAGTATTGTTTTCCCAAAATGATTGAATAAGTAAAGCAAGATTAATGATCACTGAAGTTTTAGCTGATTAAAGTCAATTGTTGAGATGGATGGAAATAAAGCAGTGGTAATTTTACAATTAAGTAAAGAGGTGAAACAAATTGAGGTGCCTTTGGAAGGGTGTAAGTTAAAGAACTAGGTGATAAAAATGGCCTTAATATATAACTTTTTTTATAAGATAAAAAAATATAAAATATTGTTGTAGATCACTTTTGATACATAATTTATACTGCAAAGTACCTGCAAAGGCTTATGTGGTTTCTGGACCGTAGGAAAGAATTTATTCTCTTCTAACAAGTCTAATACATAAAAACTGAGCCATACTGCTCTCCTACAATGAGATTTTATACCATTTCCAGTGGAGGAAAAAAAGCTTTACTGAATGCTGAAACAGCTGGCAAAGAAGCTATAAAGAGTGATTATAAAATTATTAAATCAAGAGATGACCACCTTCTAGTATATAGCCAAGCCTTTTGTACTAATATGAAAATGGAATATATTTTGTCTTACCAGCCTATCCAAGCTTGTGCCAGCAGCAGTTGTAGGTCTCTCCTCTGGGATATATGGTCTAAATCGGGTATTGAAGTTTTCAGGGACAGAACGGGAAGATCTCAGGGCAGGTGCTGGTTTTGGTTGGCCACATCCTTGGAAAACCTGAAAAAAGACATTCTTGATTATATGTTAGCTAAATGAGAATCATAAAAAAAGGAACGCTGGTATTTTGTAGCCTCTTAATTTTTTTTTTTTATATACTAAAACCAAGATTTGATTGACATTTTTATACTATTGAATTGAGTGCTTGGCCTGTATTAAAACTCAGGTTAATAATTTAGCATTATTAATCACTTGGTGAAGGTATGGAAACACATAGGGACCTTAAAACCCCATTAATTTAAGAAGGTGATTATTATGAGAAATTAACATCTGAAAGCATCTTAATTGCTGTCTTTCCAGGAGGAAAAATACACAAAAGGTTGTCCTTTGCGGCAGGACATAGTTGATAACTCTTTTCAGTTTTGTTAAAACACAGTATTTACCCAGAATCACAGGTCATCCATAATCCCTACCTACAGCTCTTTGTACCTTGCAATCTTATTTGTAGTCTTAGAGAAAAGGTCAATGATAAAATAGTTTTGTAACTTGGATAACTTTCCTATTCCCTCCCAATCTCTCCCTAGAAGGGTGAGGCAGACTGAGTGGGCAACAGTGATAATTATTTTGTGCTAGTGTGTTTGTTTTCTGGGTATAGAAAATGTTTGCAGTTATGAAATTTTTCATATACTTCCACCTAGAAAAAAGTTTCAATGTTGTGTATCTGGTAGGTACTAAAAGACACAGAAGGCTACTGGATATCAAGCATATTTCCCAGAGGCATTTTCACACAAGCTGCACATCCGAAAAAAGGTAGAAAATCCACTGACTTAAAATTATCAAGTGCTCTCATGAAGTAGAATCCTAGTGCTTGCCTTCACACCAACTTTTTCAGTTTTAGAGTCACCCTTCTGGTTTTGTGACTGTTTCAACATTTTGCCTCCATTCAAAAGAAAAAGAATTGAATGCCAGAATTTCTCCTACAATATGTTGTACAAAACTCTAATGCCATACACAGACTGTTTGAATGAGCTTTGTGGGGGTGAAAACTGTGCAAATGCTGTGTTTTGGTTGTAGGACCAAATTACTCTTTCTGTGGCTTTGTTGGTTCCTGTGGCCAGGTTTTGGTAGTGAGGGGACTCCAGGGGTGGTTTCTGTGAGAAGCTCCAGCAGCTTCCCCCATGTCTGACAGAGCCAATGGCAGCCGGCTCCAGGACAGCTCTGCAGACCAAGGCTGGGCTGGTCAGAAATGACAGTAAAGTCTCTGTGATAACATTGTTAAGAAAGAAAAGAAAGGCATTGTGCAGATGTAATTGTGGCCAGGGAAGAGCAGGATGAGAATATGTGAGAGGAACAGCCCTGCAGACACCAAGGTCAGTGCAGATGAGGGGCAGGAGGTGCTGCAGGTGCCAGAGCTGAGATTCCCCTGCAGCCCCTGGTGCAGCCAGCCCATGGTGAGGCAGCTGGGACCCCCAGCCCATGTACGTCCCTGGGGACACAGAGATCAACCTCCAGCCCATGGAGGTCCCTGAGGACACAGAGATCCACCCCCAGCCCATGGAGGTCCCTGGGGACACAGAGATCCACCTCCAGCCCATGGAGGACACCCACACCAGGGCAGGGGGTGCCTGGGAGGAGGCTGAGACCCCATGGGAGGCCTGTGCTGGGGCCTGTGCTGGGGCAGGGCCCTGCAGACCCGTGCAGAGAGGAGCCCACCCTGGAGCAGGTTTGCTGGCAGGACTTGGGAGCCTGTGAGAGACCCACATGGAGCAGGCTGTGCCTGAAGGACTGCACCCATGGAAGAGGGACCCAAGTCCTTGGCGCAATTTCTGTTTCTATCAGGATACATTAAATTGGTTCTCAGTTCGGTTTCCTGATGTTAATTTAGAGGCCCCAAATGATTCAAAGTTTGCTGAAAGAAGCTGATTAATACTACATATATGTCCAGTCATCAGGTCTGCTTTGGCTTAAAGTCTAGCAAGTCAGCTGTTGTATGGCCATTGGGATTTTTAATTTATGAGTGGAATACTGTTTGGTCTGGTTTGAGAATATCTGTTTTAAGAGTTTCAAGTCTCCCTAGTCCTGAGGGCTATTGAACAGTAAATTAATTTAATCAACCAAGAAAAAAGATTTTAGCTTGTAAAGCTCTAAACCTTTCATCAGGAAAGAATCTTATTTTTCTTCTATGAAGAAAATTCAACTAAGATTAATATTCAAGATTTGTACATTATTGTGTATGACAATTTAAAGAGTGAAATCTATACGTTAAGAGCATGAATTATACTTACAAAAGTTTGGTTAAGTTTCTTTCAACACTGAAAACATGATTGTTTATTTATATATCTATAAAATCCCATTTACTCAATTAAGCAACTGGGTATTTGCCTACAAAGCAAGTGACAATTATACAAAACATACAACCAGATTCTCAGGAGAAAGGAAAGTGAGGGAATGTCTCCTTAAAAGTCCCAGTGTGTGATTGTTAAGCTACTTGTATGGCCATGTGGTGCAACTGCAAGTCTACATAATTTATATAACATCTTTCTTATGATGTACTGAAAAGAACCCATCAGAGACTTTGTGGCATTTATCTTCATAGAAATAGCTTCAGCAAATGGTTTTATACAAACAAATTTACATACAGTCAGACAATAATAGAGATGGAAACTAGACAGTAATATTTACATGACAGAAAAAGAAATATCTTGCTTTCTAAATGACCTAACAGAAATGCAGTAAAGATACAATATTCAGTAACTGAATTTTGAGTGCAAAAGAGACATTTTAAAATTTGCATCCTGGTATTGACAGAACACAAAATGTAAAGATTATAACTAATATTAACAAATGCTTCCTAAGAAGAAGCACATGAAATACTTCCTTTACAATGCTACTGAGAGGTATTGAACAATTTCTGGGAATATATTCAGGTGTTTCATTACACATGATGTGAGTTGGTAGCATAAACCACTCTCTAAAAAATTGGTGCAGTTCATTTAATCTGAATTTAGAGAATAGATTCCATTTGAAATTAAGAAAGCTAACTTTGTTATCATATATGTGTCTACATTTAAGCTATACATCTAAGATAGGGGAGATCAAAAGCTTCCTTTTGTTTCTTTCTCATCAGCATCTACCGTCATTTGGGATGTTCTGGGATATCTGAGAGACCTGTTAAGATTTTATAAGACGAAACCATTCCCTGCTGAACTGCTGTTAAAGCTCAAATGGACCAAATCTCTGTGGTCAGAGATATGAACCAAACCGTGAGAGCAAGTTACCAGAGCCAGTGAAGAATTACATCTCTTGAGCTGACTAGATGGAAGTATCTACTTCAGGACTAGGATGTAGATACTGTAGAAAAAAGCACCCTTTTCCCAGGAGAATTTGAAGTTTTGAATTTTTGCAGAAGGCGAATTTTGTTCTCTGTGAAGCCTTGGGCCATACTGTTATTTAGCCATGTGGTAGTGCTCAGTGTTTCCAGTTGAGTGTCTCTATATGATTCTGCTCCATTGACTCTTCAAATAGAATAGCATTGATTTTTTTACCTGAAATGCCATTATATTTTTCCTGCACAGAGCTCTGGAAAGAACACAGATAAATGAAGAGGTTTTCTTAGTATGAAACTTGTGGACTATTTAAAGAAGAACCTTGGATGTAGTTCTGTGAAGATATCCTCCTTATAAATAATGCATAGGTAGTCTGCTATGTCATGGAGCTCATTCATCCATTTAGCTGAAGTAATTGCTGAGAAGGAACATATATTTATAGGTTAAAATGGCACATCCATCAACTCAGATAAAAGCAGATTTAAGACTTAGTAAGGAGAAACTCAGTTATGGGATAGACTATATGAAAGTGGAAAAATATTGTCATGGCAGCCAAATTACTCTTCCATCAGTCTAACATACTTTTATAGGACTAGACTGTTGCAGAAAATAGTTCAATATGTTGTGTTTTGAGCAGCAATGGAGACATGATTATGTTGATGCAATCAGATTAGGAAATTTCTCCATTGTGAAAAAAATTGGATGTTATAACATCTTTTGTGCTGTTTTTGAGTTTTCCTCCACTTGTGAATGAGCAATCTCTGCAGGTATCAACTAGTAAACATTCATGTTTTTAAAATGGAGCAGATGTAGCATTTACTTTTTGACTTGAAGCAGGAACTGAAGGTGTTGGTACTGACAACCTTGTGGGAAGATTGTGAAGGCTCTCAAACATGCTTGTTTTGGCCAAGATTGAAATGAGTATTTATATGTTATGACTCTTGAATATGACTACCTGAATTACCTCAGGGAGAATGAGAATGACAATGAGAGTAAGGTAAATGTTATGATATGACTAAGTCTTGGATATGAGATGAACCTTGGGAAGCAATGCACAAAATGTAAAAATTTTGCCTGAGAAAAAATCAACATGTTGCTGAGCACTGAATTTGGCACTATGTTGTTCAAATACCAAAAATATGTCACTGGAGAATTACAAAGAGATTTCAAAAAAGAGGACATCCTGTCTCAGCTATTATAAGCAGAAATCCAAGGTAAATCTACTGCACCATGACTTCTGCCAGAGACAACCTTCAGGGAACATTACTCTAATCTGGGCAGACCCGGCCTGCAAGGCTGTCATGGTTTGAGCCTGGCACAGAGCCAGTGCCCCCCCCATGAAAATGCCTCACCCTGGTGTCTGCTGTGAGATGTGACCAGGAATAAGCAAAACAGGCTCCAACTTAAACATAAAGGACACTTTATTACTTAAACTACAGGAAAATAGGGAAAGACCATAAGGAAAAAGAAGAAAAAGAATTGAAAACCTTACAAAACCACTTTCCTCCTCCCCACTCCCTGACTTTCTCAATCCAATACATTCTCTCAAAAACACCAACTGCCCAGCCCGGCACGACACTTTAGTATACTCAAACTGCAGTTCATGAAGAGGAAAGGAGTCCTTCTTGTTCCATAGGCTTCTCCTGGAAACACACTGAAACCTCGGATGCTTCCTTGTCACTTCGGCACCGCCCGGAAAAAAAAGTCCTTTTGCCGCTTGTGACATGTTCCTTCCATGCCCAGTGCTCTCACCACTGAGACATGGCCAGAGCTGCTTTTAGGGTTGTCTTTCAAGGATGCCTTGTCTCACTCCAAAAAGGCACAGTCTCTGCTTTTGGGACATCTGTCCCCCCCATATTTTTCCAACCCCCTGGGGCCGGGGGGTCCTCATGAATGAACCCTCCTGGTTTTGAGGCACTGCCTCCCCCTAAATGCAGTCTGTGTCACAGGAACAACTGAGTCCATGGCCACAAGAAAAGTCCAGCCAAAAGGCCACTCCAAATCATCTCTCCCCATCCAATCATCTCCACATTCTTCGGGCCAGGTCCTTGTCTCATCTCATCTCCTATCTCCCTTCTTATTCAGCTTCGAGGAGGATTAGCATTTTTGCAAGGCCCCAATCATGCAAGAAAGGGTTAAAAGTTTTCAGTCTCTGTCGGTCCCGGAGCGACTCCCACGCACGCTGCCCACACGCTGCCGCTCCGGCCGGGCAGTCTTCCTCCCCCCTTCTCCTCCTGGCTGGCTGCTCTCCTGGGGGGGGGGCTGGCTGCCCGATGTCTCGATGTCTCTTGGGGCTCCTCCACCCTTCCATCCTTGAAAGCCCCTCAACCCCCACCTCTGTCCAGGCCCCGGGCCTACCGCATGGCCGCCCCTCCCCCGCCCAGCAGCAGCGGGCTGGACGGGGGGAGAGATCTGACCTCCTCGCCGCGATGTCCAAAAAGAGGGAGTGCCAAGGGCAGTGCCCTGCTTTTAACCCCTGTGTATTCTCGGAGGTGTGTCCAAACCCCACTGGCTACACCGGGTGCCAGTCTCAAACCCAAAACCTTCATTGGTTTGACCACAGCTTCCCAGAATTCCCACTCCTTCCTGGTCAAACCACCACAAAGGCCTATTCCTAAAAGGTGCTGATGTCTTGGGAGGCATCTCAGGCAGCCCGGGCTGATTGTTTTGCAGTCTCTGTGCTGTGGTTTGTGGGAGGAGCTCTGTAAGAATGGCCGCAGGTGTTACATGATGAATCTATGGAAACTGGTTTTGATAATCAGCAGTCCTTGTCTTCTCTTGGCAAGGGAAAGTTTGGGCATATTCAGAGCACATTGATCCTTCCAGGAGAAAGGCCTTGGGCCTTGGGGTGTGACTTTCTATATACCATTGCTCTTTTTTGACAAGCATCTCCAGTTGTCACAGCTGTCAGGAATGGGACTTTCCCTAAGGCAAAATAAGGACCTTGTGTGGCTGTCATTAAGGGACATGACAGGTGGGCAAGGTGAGCAGCCAGGAAGCCTAGAGGTTTGTGGTCAGACTTCCTGGACAGCCAGTGCTGAATATAAACTGCTGAGAAATACCAAGAAAACAGAGAAAGACTGCAGCCTCAGCATGAATTGGAGGACTTTAACATAATACTAGCACGTTTAATGTGAACTGGGCTGGAATAACTGACTGTAATCATCACACAAACAAGCAAAGTTAATGGCCTAGGAACAGAGATGCTCCATTTTATGCAGTGAGAGACACTGGAATGTGTCTGAGTCTGAATGTCCTTGGTCAGCAGGACAAAGATAGAAGAGGTACATGTGGTATCTCTTTAATTCTCTGTCTCACTATTGATGCGCAGCTATCAAAAGAGGAAGACAGAGGGTTTGTGTCTTCTAAAGAAATGATAGACAAAGAGTGAACTCAAGCAATAAGCCTTGACTTTCTGCACTGATTAATTGTTAAGTCATTGGTTTTTTTTTTGGCTTTTGGAATAGGGCAATTCTATATCACTATATGACACAGGAGTGCTGGATTTTGGATTAAATAAATGGGTCTTCTGCCTACAAAGAGGATGAAGTGAGAGCTCCTTGAGGAAGAAATCTTTTGTTTTCATATTTTCCACCCCTTTTAAAAGAAAAAACAACATTATATAACATGGCAGAAATATCTACCGAATACAGCATAGAGTCTTCTCCCAGACTCAACCAGGTTTTTAGATAGAAAAGGCTGCATGTTAGTGGTGAAAAACAGTCTTTGTGTATGTGGGTGTTGCAGGCATAACATTATTAGTGCATCATCATTTTTCCACTGTAAAAAGGCACTGACTGACTTGGGGAAAAATAGCTATGATTCCTAGTCACCACATTTTTCAGTAAGTACAGTTGAATAAAAGGTACAAAATTGTCTGAAGAATGAGAAAATAGAAAAGATCATGATTCCAACACCCTGCTTGAAGCTTTCTGAGTGGTATCTCAGATTAATTGACGAGAGTGGCTTTTCTCTCACATTAGGTCTGCAGTTGCACTCCATGCACCCCAGTACATCTGGTGAGGTGTCTGTCATTTCCCCTGGAGCTCTAAGTGGTCAATTGGTATAAGGGGGAAAAATTAGATGACAGAAGATGGATCAAAGTCTGCTTGTATATCATCTTTGCAAGTCTGACCTGGCATAGAAGAGGACAGCACTATACCCAAAGCCTTTGCCTTTTTATAAAAGGGTAAAGCATTTCCATGCTACATGAAAAAAGATGGCTGTAACCTAGGAGATCAAGGAAATCACATTTCACAAGAATAATGGTCTATAGAGAACATACAAAGGTCCCTCAAGGATAGACAGCTCTGTTATCTATGAAAAGATAATGAAATAAATTTTGCTGATATAATTTCTTTTCTGTTCTACAAGATTTAAAAAAATTATTATCTAAGGTTTCTCTTAGAGGAAAAACTATTGCATTGCAAATGGCATTGCTATTAATCTTTAGAGCAAATAAAATATTTGTGAGGGACAGGAGAAACAGTCTGCTCTGCTATGAACAAATAGTGAGACGAGCTCATGCCAAAACATCACTGCACTCTGGCAGGGGATGCAGCTTTCCAGCTAATGGAAAATAATGTGAATTGGAAAAACTGTGAAAACAGTAAAAAGGAAAAAGTCAAAAGTAAAAAGGAAAAAGAAGTAAAAGGGAAAACAAAATACACCTGGGCCTGGGGTGAGTTTTAAGTGAAAATATTTTTTGTTTCTTTTTTGAGGTAAGAGCTGAGTTTGCTGAAGCTGACCTTTAATTCCCAAAATATTTGAGAGAATTTGGCTGTTAAACACCTTGATGACTGGTGCCAGAATAAAGTCTCATCCTGCAGGATGTAGACTGCTTTTAAAATCTGAGGAACTTCATGTAGGTTGAAAGCAAAAGGCATATTGAAGGAAACTCTTAGCAACCTGCAGCATTGGGGCCATAAAAAGCATCTAATTTTGGGTTGACAGGAAGAATGTAAACCTCAGGCTCCTGCTTTTTGTCCCCACTTTTTTTTTTTTTTTTTTTTTTTTTCCCAGCAGCTTCCTTCCAAGCAATGGAAAAATCACTGACTTAGATGGCAGTCTGGCCAGCGACTGACTGACTGACTGCTGGGAGTTAAATGGGAGGTAGAAGCTCCTAATGCAGAAATCTTGGCGAACTGTTGACTTTAGAATTTCAGCCACAGTGCAATGATGAATATTAAGTCAAAGCCATTAATTGTTGACTATTGGCTCAACAGCACCTGCTACTGAATTTGAAGGATCTTATTAACAGGGGGTTCAGAGGTGGTGGTGACCTGTGTGTACACACACACATTAAAAATGGAAAGGAGGCAGCCGGTATCATTAGCTCTGTTTATCTTTGTGTCAGAATCCAGACAAAACTCTATCAAACTGAGGTCTGGTAATCAGAGACCAGCCAATGCAGTATTTCCCTAGAGTGGCTATTAAAGGAGGTCAAATGGAACATTTTGTGTATTCACCTCAAACACATTGTGCTCAGTCTGACCTAGATAAATCAAAATGTGTTTGGAAGTTAATATGGAGAATCACAGATGAGACACGAGTGGAAGTTACCAAGTATACTCTGCAGGACAATGCTTACAGAGTTACCACTGGCTTTCAGAATACTCTATTTTCCTTAAATCTCTTACAGCTACTACTTTGAAGTTTAATAAATGGTAGCTTTCTCCCTTCCACTTCATTTTGAAAAATTCAAGCTTGTTTAACTAGTTTAACAAGGAATTCAAAGCCAGTCTGGTGAACTGTTGAACAAGCAAAAGTAATTTCTGGTGGTCTGGACAATTCTTCTTAAAGTCTAGACAGAAAAAATGGTGGAGATGTTTTTCCCCCCACTTGTGACATTCAATAACAGAGAAGGCACGACTGACACAGTACCTTTGCTGACACCTGCATGCTGTTCTCTTGCATGTTCATGATGGCTTCAGAAATCTTGACATCAATAGGATCCATGACTGATTCAATGTTGAATGGTCCCTCTAATCTCTCCGCTACCAGAAGCATAGCATCTGTTAAAACACAAAGCAGCCATTCCCTTAAAGAAGGGATACCTTTGGGGTCCTCAGGCAGAGCAGCTCTGCCAGCTGTAGGTGTGGATACTGAGCTCTCCTCAGCAGGAGTCTGGGGGCATGGGTGGCAGCAGCACTGTGAAGCCTGCAGGGCAGCTTCCCAGCTCTCAAAAATATCTTCCCCTACTGCTGCCACCACAGAAAGAGGAATAAAGACTTTAAAAGTTAGATTAATATTAGTTGCCATAGCATAATCAAGCTTGGGGTAAAATTATTTTACACAGCTTCTTGAAGCAGCCAGTGCTTTGGAGTGTACTTATGTAATCTCCTTCCCAAGAAAAAGCAGGATGATAGAAATGAATCCTTGGGGTATGTTCTTAGAATTTGTGTGAGATGATGAAAATTTTGATATGATCTATTGGGGTGTTATAATTAAAGCAGCTGTTCTTTCTGACCTTAATGATCTCATTTTCTGGCAATATGAACAGCAGATGAATATTGGATTTCTGCCATAGTATATAGGCAGAAATCCTATAAACCATGTTTGCCTTGCTACATTTTCAAAACATGGCTGTAAGTTGTATGTAAGAGGATGTAATGACTGGACAACAGGTCATGGCTCTGAACTGAACAATATATTGTTCGTATGTTTTGTATTAAAACAAAAAGTTTGCCTAACTTCTGTTTGAGCCTCTCTACAAAATAATTTAATCTTTTGATGTTCATTAACAAGTGAAAAAAAAGCAATTGAACAGAAATTCATGGCAATTATAAAGGTTTTGCCATGAATCACATATATTTGTCTATACACAGACACAAATTTATCATAATTTATGTGGCAATAGCCATGTGATAAACTGGATTTACAGTATATCCTTTGAACAGCATCTGAACAGGATCCTTGTCTCCCATGTTTGATTTAAAGTTTTCAGCAACTAATTAGCTTGTAACCTTAACACAATAAACAAAAACCTTCACATGCTCTCTTCTTTATATGCTAGACCTAAGCTCCAGAAAGTACCAAGCAGACTTCCTTCTGAAACAAACCCATGCCTGCTTTGCTGTTTTAAGCACCAGTCCCACAGCAGCTGTGTGGAGAAGGCATGGAGCTCCCCATAGATCTGACTGCAGTGCTTGTTAGCTTTACACTTGGCTGCAAATCACCGAGGTTTGTTCCAAGATGTGGACATCTTCTCCTTCCCCATAAAAGCACAAGTGTGTGGAGGTATGGGAAGAAGGGGCTGGTGTCTCACTCTAGCAGTTTAGAAAAACACCCCCATGCACAGCCTCACCCAAGGACTGCATAAAGTTGTTTATATGCTGTCAGTGCATACCCAGAAATCCCACTGAAACTGGAATTGCTTGGCATGCAGCACCAAAACACTTCTGCAAATTTGCATCTAATAATTCACAGTACTTTTAGGCTGGAAAGAGTGTAATGCCAGTTATTTGGAGTGAGGTGTGTAGCACTTGTTGCTAACTGTGAGAAATGCACAGATGATAGGAAATTGGTTTCAAACAGAGTTGTTATTTTGCCTGCACCTTATTTTAAAATTCTGTAGTTTATAGCCTTTTCAGTGGGAAGTGGTGAAAATAGGAACTACCTCTGATAGAGAAAACAGCTTTCATACACACAAAGACACACGCATCCATACACACATGCACACACACTTACAGATTACAGCAATAAGTTTACAGTTTTTCAAATGAAAAAAAAAACAAAAACAAAGAGAATTTGTAAGTGTGGACTCCTATGAAGTATTTTCTTCGTCATGTTCAGAATGACTTGAATAAAACATTTATGATTTAGTACTTTGTGAGCAATGTGATCAGCTTAAATCCTAGGTGCCATGACCAGTACCAGGCCTTGTTAGGGCACAGGTCTTGGTGGCTGAATTTTGGTAGTTTACTCCAGGAATAGGGTTAAGATTAGGGTTACTGTGTAAAACAGTCAAAAGTATTTGTGTTTCTTTGTTTGTTGTTTTTTTTTTTTTTTGCGTGGGGGGTTCTTTTTGGTTTTGTTTTGTTTTGGTTTGGGCTTTTTTTGGTAGGAGGAGACTACATTTTAAGCTAAGGACAGGTGCCTCTTTATATGAATCTATATTTTGGCAACTGGAAGGTTGGAAAAGTCTAGTGCTAAGCCCTAGTATGTGTTTAGGGACTGTGCTGAAGCAGAGGTCTGTAAATACATAATTGCTGGAGATCTCTTGTGGGAATGGGTGGTGGCTCCAGCCTACCTGTTGCTTCTTCTGATGGCATGGGGCAAGAGTTCTGAATTAAACCTTGAAGTGAAATCTCAGCTGTGTGGCAGAAAAGTGCATCACCTTTAACTGAACAAGAACCACAGTTTTAATTTAAGAACAGCCTTTCCTCAAAGAAAATGCCTTCAACTCCAAAATGAATAGCTCTAGGAGATGCAAACTAAAAATCTGTTCCTGGCTTAAACATTTTGTATCTATGGAAAGATAACCTTTAGGTAATCAACTTCTATTTTCTGAACCTTAAGCCTATTCATAGACTTAGTCTTTATATATACATATACGTATATATATATATCTGTATCTATATAATCTATATCTATCGATATAATCTATCTATATCCATATATATATCTATATATATCTGTATCATCTATATCTATATCTGTATCTATATCTTTATATCTATATCTAATCTTTATCTATATATATAACCTATATCATCTATCTATTAGTCATTGTTAAGGAAGAGGGCAAAGGCTGAGGAATATGGGCAATTCCTGGCTGCCAAAGGTGAGATTTTTGTTATGTTGAGTTCTTTCTTTGATATGGTATGGTATAGGTCTGATGATACTTTCAAGAGCCAGGGTTCAAGTTAGGTTAGAGTAAAGTTTATGTTTCAGTCACATGTGCTATAGATTTAAGCTATTGCTCTACATAAAGGAAAGAAAGAAAGTAAGAGAAAATGAAAGAAAACAAAAGGCGAGAGAATAATAAAACAGTAAATCCCTGTGTGTCCATATTCTTTAATTTCTGTCTCCTTCTCTGTCTTGGAATGAATCTGGACCACTCCAGGTAGCTATTCCTAACTTAAGTCTGTGGAGCAGTGAGAGACTATGAGCCAACAGTGACACTTGATATTAAAGCCTTGTGATCTTTAATTATATCTTGAAGATATGCCTGGGGAGCAAGGAGTTAAGGGAAAAATAGAATTTGAAATATCCATGCGTTTATTGATGACAGGTACACAATTATATCAACAGTTTGTATTTTTGTTTTGGGGTTAGGATATGAGATAGGACTAATGCTGAAGTAGAGGCCTATACAGGGATATATTTGAAGAGGAAGAGTCTGAGAAATGGATTAAATTCTCTGAAAAGAGTTGCTTGAAGGGCTGAAGTAAAACAGGTTCCTCCTTCAACATTATTTTTGAGAGTGACGCAAGTTGTGCTTCCAGTTAGTGCTCAGTTTAGGGATCAGCTCAGACTAGAAGTCTTGGACAATTGCACAGTTCAGATGAGTTCTTGCAGAAATGGAAATTCAATTAATGTTTGAGGACTCATTTTTATTTCAGTTCCAGAAGCTTTGTGGGGCAATGGCTGACTTAGCAGTGACCGGGCTGCCGGGTTATTCTTGTCTCCTTCTGGTAGGAGTACTACAAGCTCAGTCTAGCAAAAGAGGATGAACAAATGGCACTTCTATGAATGCCAAAATTATTTTCTTACCCTCTGTCTGACTGGGCTCTTCCTTCTACCCTTTTTCTAACCACCATGCTGTTCCTGACTAAATCAAACATATCCAGATGATACCTCACAGCCACAGACTGAGAGAAGCCCGGAAGAACAAGGTAGTTTTATTTTTGAATGTTACTAGTGAATGTTCAGGCTCCTTAGAAACAAACTCACTTCTGTATCTAACTAGCTTGATACTATAAATTTTTTGAGTTAGGCCTCAGATTTAAATTAAAACTGAATTTTTCATCTATAACATTGATTTCTAGGAAGAATCGCTGTACAGTGTTTAAGGTGAATTGCTCTCTTGGAAAATATTTCCTCAGATCATTAGGTTGAGTTCTCTTTTTTGCCAATCCTAACTCTCACTACAGTGATAAACTTTATTATTCACTTGTACAGTTCCATATGAGCACATACATACCAGCTATCCTGTGCAACTGAGTGAAAAGGAAGCTGTTAGGTTGAATACAGCGAAAATCAGATGAAATGTAATAAGCTGAGATTTATGACAGGACGGTCAAAACATTGTAATGGTCCTCACCTGACTGTAGCTCTTCAAATCTCTAACTGTGTATCACCAAACACAACACTGCTGTCCCAAATACTTTTTTTTTTCCTTCTAAAAATGTTGTGAATATTATTACGTGAGAAACTGGAAAGATTTCAATATGAAGTTCAGAAAATCTAGATGCTTTGAATTAGTCTTGAAATCCTAATTCTCAAGAACAGACCCTTGAACTGGACAAAAGTCTAGCTGAGTTCAGTGTAAATCTGAGTGGGCTTAGTAATTTCTCAGTCACTTCAAATAGTAGATATTGGGAACTTAATTATTGTTTGTGCTATAAAAAAAATCTGAAAACTGGGTGATTGACTCACCTATTTTTTATGTTATTAATATACTTGGACTGTATTGTTCAATTACATATGTTCTTGATTTTTCCTGTGTTGTACTTTTCCAAATCTGCCTTCTTAGGTTCAGTGTGTGTTCTTCATGTACTACAGCATCTGGTAAAAAGCTGGCATCTGGCTGCCAGCTGGGGTGAGTGGATCAGGAACTCGGTTTAGGTAAGTCATTCCTGTGCTTTGGGTTTGTCAGGGACTTGGAAACAATAAATGTAACTAATTCCTCACTTGGGAACGCAGGCTCAGCAATGGCCCTGAGAAAGTGCAGAGCATATGGCACCCCTGGATCACCATCCGTGCTGCTGCTCTCAGCCTCTCCTGCATGCTGAAAACAGGAGTGGGACCTTTCTGATGCAGTAACCCCCCAAAGACTACTGAAGGCCTA